CGACGTGGGCGTCCAGCGCGGAGAGCGGGTCGTCCAACAGGTACAACTCGCGGTCGGCATACACGGCGCGTGCGAGACTGACACGTGCCTTCTGCCCTCCGCTCAGGTTGATGCCCTTCTCACCAATCTCCGTCTGCATCCCGCCAGCCAGCAGCTTCAGGTCAGACTCCAGCTGGCACGCACGCACCGTCTCCTGCAGCCTCTTAGGGTCCTCCGGGGCAAAGAACAGGACATTCTCCCGCAGCGTCGCGTTCATGATCCATGGTTGCTGCGGCACATACGCGATACTTCGCGTGGCCCACACACGACCGTGCGTCACTTCGTACTCACCCAGCAATCCCGCAAATAGCGTCGTTTTACCGCTTCCAGTCGGGCCGACCAGCAGCGTTATTTGCCCATCGTAAATGATCACAGAGAATTCCACAAGAAGCTTCTTTGGTATCGACTGTTGGTCGGCGTTGTACCTCTCTCTGCGTCTTTCATCATCTTTTTGTCTCTATCATTTTATTTGTATCATCATCGTCTGGAGTGGCAGACGGAGCTCTGCGATGCCTCGCCACCACCTCTCCCCACTCCTCTAGCGTCACAGTTCGGTGAAGTAATAGACGAGGCAGTTGTTGCGGAGTACCACACACTCTCGGGCAGCATCTTGGGAGAGACTGCGGCGTGAATGTTGACATCGTCACATGATCAAAGGCAGTAGCCGCACCGGCAGAAAATAACAACAACAAAAGTGCAGCAAACATCAACCGCCTGATTTTTACACTGCAAAAAAAAAAAAAAAACTGTAAGAAGCCCCTGCCAAAACAACACACTGCAGCAGGTTCGTTACATTAACCGGCGGCCGGTATAGAAGCGTAGGTGAAAAAGTATCCAGAAGTCCAAAAAACTGGAAGACAACACTAAAAGAAATTTCTCATCCCACCGCGTGTTTGCAAAATACAAAAAACAAACAAACAAACAAACAAACAAACAAACAAACAAACAAAGTTAATAAATATTATTGATGTGGTAACGTTAAAGACCAGGAGCCCCACCTCAGTGCAGCAAATCCACTTCAGTTACTCCATTTCATTCTATCAATCTCGCTTAACCCCGGCCATGAAGTACGGCGAACAGATTCACAAAATTCACTACATGGGTACCGAGAATAAAAGAATAAAAAAAATAATAATAATAATAAAAATGAATCCTTTCGTTGCACGTACACAATTATCAACAATCACCACCATTTTCTCACGTATAGAGAGAATTGCCAACGTCAGAAAAAAAAAAATAAATAATAATAATAATAATAATAATAATAAATCTAAACCGGGAATATGATGAAGTGCACCGCCAGAGCCGCCAACACACACACTACCCGACAATTCGCTAGAGAACCACCCCACATGTGTCAGCAACAGGAGCGGTGCACTCAGGAATTACACCACGCACCTATTGAGGTCCCCAATGTAGCCTCTATTGTTCGCGGCCATTTTCATAACCTCGCCCAACGCTCATCTCGGAAAGGAGAAGTAAATTATTATAGAAATAATGAAATATTTCCCAAAGAGCAAAGCCATTGCGGTATTCTCAAAATACAGAAGCGACGCCATTACTCACATAATCATATTTATGAGCCGCGAAACTCCGTAGTATGTCAACAGAAATACACCAGGAACAAGAAGCATCCCATTCTACTATGATATATTCACCTTCTCAAGGTACAGTACATAACTCACTAGCTGGACATGCAGGATAGTAGCACAAACATCTGCAAGCGTTTTGTTGGGAATTTGAACCCACATATGATACGCATGCGCCCCTGGCTCAGCCGGCCACCTCAACGTGGTGCCAGGGTCTAGTACTCTTTGCTAGAGAGGAAGCTAAGCGCCTGCTGTTCATGCTTCAAACCCGATGAGTAGTTGTTAATTAGTTTTACGGGCCGGAAGGGCAGATGTTGGAGCCATTCTATAATGGCTGCCCGCGGAGTAAGGTTATCCTTGCTGCTGAATTCCTTCGTACGCTTACCAGAGCTGCACAATTGAAGGTGTAGTTACTACGACTGGTAAAAGAAGAAAAAAATAAAAAAATAATAATTACGCATGCGCCTTGACAAGTGGCGAATGGAAGTTTTGAGTTACAGTTACCAGAGCACCACCATTCATCCAATTCCAGTAACCCAATCCCTTTTCTTTTTCTCTTTACAGGCTCACAGAAGGACTGAATGCACTGTGATGGACAAAATGAACTTTCAACCATAAACCACACTGTCGTGCGTACGTGCCGCCAAACCAGAAATTGGCAGCCGGTGTGATGGTTGAACGTTCCACTCCACTCCCAGCAAGTAATGATTGCGGCTCGTTCGACTGACGCATGTATCCAACCCAACACAACTGACCCAGGATCCATGGCTCTCTACAGTACCAAACCTCTTTGTGCAGAAACGGTTAGTTTGCGTGTCATGGGGGCATGTCTGCTTCCATCTGACGTCACAATTTCCACCCCGCCTCGTACAACCGCGCCTCCTCTGCTGGCGGTGGCAGCGGGATTTATTTAGTTTCTTTCCGTGCGGCCCTTGCAGTGTATTCATCAATCCATCCATAATAAAGCTGCTAGAAGAGAACGTTGCTCTGTTTTCCACGGACATCATGCACGGCAGCGGCTCCAGGCCCCACAGTCGATACAAATGACTTTTTTTTTGTGTGTGTGGCATGTGGGGTGACGAAAGAGCTTCCAGAAGCGCTGCAAACATCTTCCGCCTGCCCCCCCCTGTCACTGTTGACACCTGACATCGCACCGTCCTTGACCCCTTGACCCCTGCGATCCAAAAGAACACACAAATTTTACAAATAAAAGCATTAATATATATATATATATATATATATATATATATATGAAACAGGAAGTGAAAGCCACACACATGCTGACACAGACCCACGCAATAAGGAAAAAAGGGAAAGAAGGTCTTAGCGGTTGATCCATAAAGAAAAAAAAAAAAAAAAGCGTTAAAACTTTCATACACACCGCCATAAACATAACGACGTGAATGCATTTGTTGCCTAAATTCCGTCCATTTCATTTTTCATCATTCAAAATCCTCTTCATTGCTACTACCAGCAATCAAGACGCGTCAAACCACAAAATGTTCGGCATCCACATGGTACTAACTTTCTCACACACCGACGATTACCATCCATGTCATAAATGAATAGAAAAGGGCGACAGGATACACGACAAGCATCTCGCGTTCAGGAGTGACGGAGCCACGAAAGAAGCGCAGGGCAGCCCAGCAGGACCAGAGCCAGACTACAAAAGAAATCACCATCATCACCCAAAAGTAAGAAATAAAAACACCGAGGAACGCGCCAATACAAAGCGGTGCCAGGCAGTAGCCCATGACACAAACCGTCTGAAAAAAAGAAACTTTGCTGCCAAGAAACTTTGCATTGAGCGTCACGACGGCCGCCCCCACCCACACAAGCACAAAAACCGCTGAGAATATGAGACCACCCTGATGTGTTGCCGCTGAGCCGGCAAGAATGATGGCAAGCAGCAAGCAAAGCAACAAGGGTCCCCACAAGTCCCAGTCGCGCAGCTCCTGATCCTCCCCGAGCGGCGGTGCAAGGACAATCGTCATCTTTCGGCCAATAGCCACCGCATCGCGCACAATGGTGGTCGTGATAGGCTCATCCAAAGTGGAGTAAAGAGGAGCGGTAGGGACCGTGGTCTGCGCCATTTCCTTCCCTCCGCTTCCTTTCGTGTGTTTTGCTGTGACTGCTGAGATATCCGGTGGCTTCTACCAATACTTATTACTACTAATATTACAACTACACCCTCGCCCTTGCCAACCCCTTTACTCCTGTTTGCCAATTGCAACTGTTTGCTTGCGTTTCTTGCGCCACCCAACAACAAACAAAAAACAACAAACAAGTCAAAAAAAAAAAAAAAAAAAGGATAACACCATTGACATGCAGAAGAAACCAATGCAGCTAACAATTTGTACTTCCCCCTTCACGACGAGAAGCTCGGAAGCAGAAAAAGAATGAGAGGGTGGGGGGGATCCAATCAAACAAAAAGAGAACCTCACAACGGCAGAAATATAAGATATTTTAAACGGTGGAAAAAACAAAAACATAACCGGCACTAATGGCGTCGGGGCACCTCCTGTCTTTAGAAATCCCCTTCTCCCTCTTCCGTGGTGTACAATTCCGTTTCCCCCATACCCACACTTTCTTTTCGCACGGAGGCTAAAAAATCCGCACGCTTTGTAAACGCCTTCATTTCCTCTTGTCGTTTTGTCTTTCGATATCTACCGTCCACCAGAGCAATAAGCACAACAATCATCAGCGCCAGAAACGTTGGTAGCAGCATATATGACCACTCAACCCCCTCAAACTGCAATGTTATCGCTTCATATGAGAGGGTTCTTCCTCTTTTTCCAGCAGCATGAAAAAAGTCATTCGTGCGTTGGAACCGTTGACGGTGCGCACGGGCGTATTGCCTTGCGTCAATGATGTCGATTTGGTTCCAGCGGCTTCTCTCGGAGGTGGTAAGCGTCCGCTTGACTGCGTGCAACATATCCCGCCATCTCTGACGCGGCATAACTGTTGCCATCTGCACCGCATCGGCCTGTAGAGGTCTGGCTGATACTGAAGCCGACGATAAAGATGATGATTTCTTTTCTGTCGTCAACATTGAATCAAGAAGTTGCGATGCGCATCCACACCACGAGCGCGCCGGAGAAAAATACCGTCCTGACGCATCAAAAAGGCCGCAATGCCTCATGCGCTTCTACGCCCAAACTCAATGAGTTCATAAAAACAAAACACAACAATACCAACAAAAAAAAAAAAAAAAAAAAAAGGGTGAGGCCCCGGACGGTAGTGATAAGGTCGGCGTCCATATAAATTTTGGCGGTGGATGTTCGCTTAACTGAACAACCAAAGAAAAAAAAACAAAAAAAAACGCGTTTTCATTTCAAACCCATAAACGGCAACTAAGCCAATTCTGCCAAACACAATTACATAATTTACTTTTTGTATTGCGCTCAGCGCAGCACCGTGTCGTCGTTGGAGGATTTCCGCGTAATGTACGTCATGTACAGTGTGATGAGCACCAGCAGAATGCAGATGGGGATGGAGGGGCCGGGCTTCGGTGTCGGCTTCGGTCGGAGACGCCGCTTACTCATTGTGAGTTTGCGTTGAAGGGATGTGGGCGTGACGGTGGTGTACGCTGCAACGGGAAATCGTCCTCCTCGCAGCATTTTCATTTTCATCATCACAGCCGGAGCCAACAAACGCCGAATGCCAGCAGACATTCTTTTTTTCCTTCTGTTCAGCCCTGCACACACAATCACCCACTCACACGCCAAAAAAAAAAAAAAAAAAAAAAAAAAAGAGTAGAGTAAGTAATTTATGTATGCATGTGTACAAAACAAAACAAAAAAAAAATAGAAGACTCGCAACTGTTTTTTTTTTTCCCCCTCTTTTCTCCATCTCATTTCCTCCTCCCGCCGCCCCACAGTAGCACACACAGAGACGCAGACGCATATCCGCTCTTATTTGGCTCCATGCCCCATGCAGAATCCCTTCTCACGCTAGCGACCAAACCTAGCCATAAGAAAGAACGATACTATTATTAATGTCATAGCCGTCCACCAAATATTGCCCAGCTGCACTCGGGGCTGCTCATATGCTCGAGGGGCGTTCGCATCCGGCGGTGGGGGCGGGGAGACAACACCGCGAATGGACTCCCCGTAACTGTCACTCTGCAAAGTCATCAGACGTTGACGTGCGGCAACGAAGTGCTCCGGCATGTTGTCATTTGCAGGATCATCCCGCAAGTCAGCCTCGAAGAGAGGCCGAGGGCCCTGCGCAGTGGTGACAGTTGGCCCCTCGTAGAGGTGCGTCGGTGAACGACCGCTCATTTCGTCCAGTTCGCGCTGCATCTCAGCAAGACGTATGTGATGCGGTGATGCCGTGAAGTCCTGAACGGTGCCCAAAGGCGTGTACGGTCGGCCACGTGCAAATGATCGCCACGACACTCCATTGCCCACGGCTCCACCTGCCATCATGTCACCAACTTCCAAAGAAAAAATTGCCGAGGCACAGCCACACCGCCGCATTGAGTAGCTGCCACCTTCCTGCCTATAATTCCCCCAGCACCCACACTTCTTCTTCTTTGCTTCCCAAGAAAAGTCCATGGTGGAAGAGCAACAGGTTTTGTGGCGGCCAGAGGAAGTGGACTCGGGCACACCACGCACGGCAGGGCAACACAAACACACTTCTGCCAGAGACAACATTCGCCAACACGTCGTCACAACGACGTTCTCTCATTCCTCTCGTTGCTTCACACACACACACACACACACACACAGTCTCTCCCTCCCCGTGGGTGTGGATGCCTGCCTCACTCGCCGCCACGCTTCTGCTCCATGGCCCACCGCCTCACACTCTCACGCTTCTGCTCCTCCCGCAAGCCCGAGAGCAGAACAACCCAAACGGGCACTACAAACATCACCGCAAGCGCCACAGCGACGCTCACCTCACGCTCGGTCTGTCGCCATGCGTGCATGCCTGGCGTCTCCACGGGGCGCACACGGCTCGGTGCGTTGCCAAAGCGTCGATGCGGCACCGTCGGCGTCCCTGTGCGGAATGCACACAGTCGCCGCATTGCAGCCTACCCGCCTAGCAAGAAGAAACGCAGACACGCACACATAGACGAAGACATACACACACAGTTGAAACAGACTGATCGGCAAACAAACAGATGGTGACTGAGCGCGGCGCGGCGCTCATTACACACAGCACTCAGTAACAAACAAGGGCTCGATCCAACACACAAATCCTACTGATGAAACCCACCACACACAAAAAAGGAAAAAAAAAAACCACGCGCTCACGAGACGATCTAAAGACAATAACTCGCCCATAAACAACGGGCAAGCCCCATGTGTGCCCTGGCCGCAAAAAAAGAAAAAAAGGCGGATGACGCAAGGCACACAATTGACCATTTACCACACATTCTCTTCACAGGCACATTTCATACATAGTTACATACAACAAACCCATCAACACCCTACATACATGCACACACGCAGAGACATACACAGAAAGAGAGACGCACATGGTGCAAAAAACGAAACAAAAGGCAAAAACAAACAAAAAAATCTGATTTCGACTTTTTCAGCTGGATGCCACCCAAAACAGCCAGTCATCACGAAGCCGCCGCAACACCCACACTCGCCATGAACTTCGCGGCCTCCTGCTTCCCCAGCGCGGCCACAAGCTCCGAGAACCTCGACGACGGGTCCGACACAAGCTCGCGTGGGGAGCCCGACTCCGCGACGACGCCGTGGTCCATGACGACGATTTTGTCGTACGCCGCCACCGTGTGCAGGCGGTGGGCGATGGTGATGACGGTGTGTGAATTGAAGGCGGTCATCACCGTGTGTTGGATCTCCTGGTCGAGCGCGTGGTCGATGTTGGCAGTGGCCTCGTCCATCAGGATGAAGCCGCTGCCCCGCCGCAGCAGCGCACGCGCCAGGCACAGCAGCTGCCGCTGGCCCACGCTGTAGTTCGACCCGCCCTCCTGCACGCGGCCGTCGATGCCACCGCTCTCCAACTCCACACGCTCCCGCATCCCACCAGCTCCAGCGCACGCCACACCTCCGCCGGCGTCGAGTCGAGGAAGGGGTCCAGGTTCGACCGCACCGTGCCGTCGAACAGCACAGGATCCTGCGGAATCATCGAGAACTGCTGCCGCAACTCCCGCAGCCCGTAGGCGCAGATCGGCCGCCCCGACACGATGATGTCTCCACCGCAGATTTCCACCATCCGCATGAGCGTGAGCAGCAGCGTCGACTTGCCGCTGCCGGTGCGGCCCACCACACCGACCTTCTGACGCGGTTCAATCCGGAAGCTGACCCTGTCCAGCACAAGCGGCAGCCCCGCACGGTACCGCATTTCCACCTCGCGGAACTCCAGCCACCCCGCCGTCGTCTCCGGGTGCTGTCCCTCGCTGCCGCCGCTGACGCCCTCCACCAGCACCGTCGCCGTGACATCGCTGCTCTCCGTGTTCTTCTCCCGTAGCTCATCCACCAGCCTGTCCATCTCAGGCACCTCCTCATGATCAATGTTGTGGGTGTAGTGCAGGATACGCTCCACGCTGTTCATGTCGGCCCCCATCGTGCCAATCATCCGCACAAGCCAATTGAGCTGTGACGTGGACGCCAACGCCATGGTGAGACTGAGGGAGACAAGACCAATGTCGTGCGTACTGAAACTCATCATTGTCCCAATGACGCCGAGAAGGGCGATGGTGATGACGATGACATTCCCCAGAAAATCAACTCGGACTCCTAACCAGCGATTCGTTGCGTTTTCAAGGAAAGAAGAGGCACACACACGGTCTATCCGCCGCAGTGACTCCTTCATTATGGATGCCACGCATCCGTATGCCTTGATGGTAGAGGAGCCAACAAGTGCCTCGCCAAGAAGTGATATCATCAGCGCCTTCACGATGCTGCCGACGCGACGAATTTCTCTGTTGGTGACGTTGTAAAGGACCATCAACTCGTAGTAAAAAACCACCGTGGGAAGCAATGCCAGAATGACATATGGCTGTGAGTCGATGGCCACAGCAAGAGAAGAAAATATGCTGTACAGAACCCGCAGGAGGAAAAGAAATGTCATCTGCAGCTGATTGTCAATGCAGTCAACATCGCGAGAGAAACGGTTGACAATGCGTCCAAGCGGGGTGGTGTCAAAGTACTGCATCGTGCCGATGGAGACCGACCGAAGAATGAGGCGGTGTAGATTGCGGGAGCCTTGTCTCATCGCACTGTATGCGACACCAAAACGCAGCGGCACCATGACGGTCCCAAAAAGCACCAGGGCGATGTATACGTCAAGGTATGTCTGTGGGGACAGGCCGAAGCGTTGTGTCGACCACATCGAAAGCCACGCGTTTGAAGACAGAGATATCATCTCGGTAAGAAGAAAATGATCAGAACAATCACCACCACGGAGACACCACCGCATGCACGGAAATATGTCACGTACGTTGACCACAGTACAGACCCCACCGCCTTTTCCTCCGACGTCATCATTGCCCCCTTGGCGCGGCCAGGGGACCCCGCCCCAGGTGGTGCACCATTGTCCAAAACGGGTGCGCCGTCCAAGACACCATCCCCCTCTTCCTCTCTCACTTCTTTCTCTTGGTGTTGCTGCTGCCTCGCATCTTGGGCAACAACCTCCTTGTACACCGGGGAACCCATGAATTCCTCGCGGCGACCAGCAAACCGCACAGCACCGTCGCCCATCAACACAACATAATCCGCTCGCGAAAGCACTTGCAGCTGGTGCGTTGCCAAAATGCGGGTCTTGCACGCCAGCTGACCCAGCAGGACATCGGCCACAATTCGTTCGCCGACGTGGGCGTCCAGCGCGGAGAGCGGGTCGTCCAACAGGTACAACTCGCGGTCGGCATACACGGCGCGTGCGAGACTGACACGTGCCTTCTGCCCTCCGCTCAGGTTGATGCCCTTCTCACCAATCTCCGTCTGCATCCCGCCAGCCAGCAGCTTCAGGTCAGACTCCAGCTGGCACGCACGCACCGTCTCCTGCAGCCTCTTAGGGTCCTCCGGGGCAAAGAACAGGACATTCTCCCGCAGCGTCGCGTTCATGATCCATGGTTGCTGCGGCACATACGCGATACTTCGCGTGGCCCACACACGACCGTGCGTCACTTCGTACTCACCCAGCAATCCCGCAAATAGCGTCGTTTTACCGCTTCCAGTGGGTCCAATGATGACGGTGAGCTTACCTTTTGGTATCTCGATGGAGACGGCCCTTAAAATATTTTTTGGCAGCAATTCAAAGCGATCCTCCGCCAACACTTCCTTCGCTCGCCTCTTCTTTTCATTGATGTTGTTTGACCCCGTCGTAGTTGGGGTGGTGGGACTGTTGGGCGGCGGCTGTTGTGGCTCGTGGAATTGCGCCGGCGACTGCCCTTTCTTCTCTGGGCGGCAGGCGTCACAGCAGCAGAAGCGCCGCATGAGGCGAGCGGTGAGGGAAAGAGATGCTCGAGTTAGACGTGGGAGTTTCACGGGCACAAGTGCTGTAATGTCGGTATTCTCAAAGACAGCGGCCATCTCGCACCATGAGCCGGCGCTCGCTCTCTGCGCAGTGTTGTAGGAGCGGATGTCCATAACGCTCCGGGGGGAGTTCTCACAATCGAGAAATGCGGATATACGGGCCATGGAGACAAGGAACTGCACCGCACTGGTAAACACCGTGGGAATCATCATGAAAGGCATGCGGATGATGGCGAGAAGCGAAATGGCGGGAAAGACGATTTCCGGCGTGAGCTCGTGCCCAAGAAGGTGGTACAGGAGAAGCACAACGGCAATCATGACAGGTGGGGTGGCGTCGTTGATGAATGACGTGAGGACACGGCAGACCTGCACCCCTTTGAGGTACTGCAGCTCAATGTCGCGTTTCGCCTCAATGCTCGCGATGAAGCGGGGCTCCCACGCCATAAACTTCGCAATGCGAATACCAGAGAAGAACTCGTTCGTTGCCTTCACACGGGCGTCCGTCGTGGTCGCGAGGCGTCTCCGCAGCCGCATCATGCGCCGCATCACAAGTGCATTGAGTGGGAGTGTTGTGCTGAGGGCGGCGACAGCGACCAGTGCGCTCCACCCAACGAGTCGGTACAAGAGAAAAATGGAGAACACGGCCACAATTGGGGAGCTCCAAAGGTACATGCAGAACTGCAGGAATTCATCGGCCCTTTCAACATCGGTGCTCACCATATTAATGATTCTCCCGGTACTCATCTCTGGTATCGCAAACGATTTGGGCGCCACAACAAGGCACTTCTCAAATATAACTGCGGTTAGTGCACTTCGAAAACGGAGGCCGCCGTTGATGCTTATGTAGTAATATGAGTGGAGTGCCGCGCTCTGCACGGCTTGCACAATAAACAACGCCATGACGAGAAGAAGACCGGAGGACCAGCTGGGAGATTCGCCCGTAAGGTAGACGACGTATTTTTGCAGGAGGATGGGAAGTGTAAGAGTGCAAATGTCTCCAATGATTTTGCCGGGGAACTGCCAAAGAACAGCACCCGGCAGGGCGACAAAAAGATCGCGCACCAAGGAAATCCGCCTCGGCACCGGAATGGAGGCCGCGACTGCTGCGTCCTCGCCATCACTTGTAATAAACTCAAGGCTGCAGGGTTCCTCCAGTGTCGAGTTATCAGTCGTTTCCGGTGCAAAGAGCGTCTCTCCGTAAAAAAGCCCGCGGAAGAACGGCGAGTACTCCGCGCTGCACTCAGCGACGCGATGCGACGGGGGCCTCGTCCACGTGACGGCCGCCATGATTTCGTGGTAACCGCCGGACTGCGGCACGCCCACCCAACGCAGCGTCCCCCGACTGAGGCGATCCCGGCGGCTTGCCACTGTCATGCCGACAAGAACGCTCCAGCCGTGACGGCGGCTTAGACTGCGCTGCGTTACCGCTGAAAGCTTCAGTCCGCACTCGTGTGCACGGTCTGTGCGGCGTGCTGGCGGCAAATCCTCCACCTGCATTCGCTCTTTTTTTGCGAGCTGGATGTACTCCGAGATCCATGTGTAATACAAGCGCTGCGGCCACGTGGCCGTGCTCTCCGCCATGGGTGTGTATGGCTCCCCCACTCCCCACATCTCGCGCATTCGGCGGCTCATGCTGCTGTAGCTCCTGTCGTAAGCCCGTTTCCTCTTCGCCAGCGCGCTGTGACTTACACACACCACCTCCTCGCCCGCTGACGACGACAGGATTGAGGTGGACGAGGTGTCGCCGTCACGAGTTGCCGCGTCTTTCTCCACCACCTGCGCATCTTCGTACAACATACGGCCAGGCATTGCCTCCTGCGGCTGTGCGTCTTCACTTCTATGCATGCTTCCACGTTGCTTTCTTTTTGTTTCTTACAACCGCAGTCACAGAAGGAGGATGGAAAACACATGGACCCGGGAGCGGAAACCAAGAAAGCGCAGAAAATTTCAGCAACAACAACGAGTAAAAGTGACGCAATAAGAAAAAAGAAGCCATCCAATAAATATTAATAATATTAATAACAGTAATATGGATCGATTTTGCACCCTCCGTCGCCCCAACATTTTTTTATCCCCCTTTTATTCCTCCTCCCCCCCTACTAATTCAGCAGCACACAAACACACAGAAAGAACCACTGCAACCAGATGTCCCCCATGTATAATGTAGTAACAATAACAATATGTATTGCGTGGATACATGTTTGTGTGTGCCACATTGGTGTTCCCCCTCCCAAAAAATAAAAATAAAAATTTTTACGCCTTCATCATCGTACACACAATTATATGCACCCATGCATGCATGGATGGATAGATATGTGTGGGAATCACATCACATGCTAACCACTTTAATTATTCAATTCCACCAACGCATCCACCTCAACGGCGGCCCCAAACGGCAGCTGCGCCACCCCCACTGCACACCGAGCATGTCGACCAACCTCCTCCCCGAACACACTTAGAATAAGGTCAGAGGCGCCATTGGCAACGTACGACTGCTCCGTAAAACTTGGTGCGGAATTCACAAAGACGTTGAGCTTCACAACACGTTTCACACGGTCCAGGTCGCCCAGAGCTGCCTGCATTTGCTCACAACTG